GGTTAGACACACAGTCCTTCAGTCTCACAAACTGTGGTCTGTTTGTCAGGTAGTCTTTGGTACCATAATAATGTAACTTTTTTCACCTTCAGTAAGACTGTTTATGTGTATAAATCAAAATCAAATTCGACTTTGCATTATAGCCATTTCAAAACCCCTTGAAATTGACCTCTGTCTCTAAGAACCTCATACATTTTATGTTACGCCTATTTCTACACGTCTTCATCAACAGCTTCATGCTGTCATTGACAACAAAGGCTTTTGTACAAAGTATTAGATAAATTTCAGTAAGTGTGTTCAATACTTTTTCCCTGTGCCATTCCACATTATTACAAATAACTTCATTTCTGGACATTTATGGTTTGATTTATTTGTATGTATGGATCACTTGGGTTGTTATTGTCATCAGGTGAAAATTTCTTATCATTAGTACCTCTAGTAATATATTTACTGAGAAAAATGGTGACGTGTTCAATACTTATTTTCCCCGCTGTAAATTAAAAAAACATTTTATTGAATGCTGCTAAAATCAAGTAAGGAAATAATACAAACTTTGTTCAAATTGGTTGAGAAATAAAGAAGTTGTGCAATTTTCTTGGAATAAAAAAAGAGGTACATTTTGGCACTGACCCAATCAGATTAGGCTGCTTGCGGGCCTTAAATGCACACTTTAGAGTCTATGCTTTTTACGAAAGCTGCTCAGAATGTAGAAAACAGCTTAACACTGAATATCTTTTACTTTTTAATGAAGAATATACATCTGCGGCATGACTTTTGATCACTTTAATCTAAAAAAAACTGTGTCAACTCACCTGTCCCTGTGATCAAGGACTGCCACATACATACAGTGCTTTACAATCATGATGATGATGATGATGATGATGATGATGATGATGATGATGATGATGATGATGATGCCTTTATTGTCATTGCATGGCATAATTTATAGCTCCAACCTACTTTCTTAAGGTCCAGAATTTTTTTTCAACTATGGGAGTCCGGGGACAGTTTCAACACTTTTTTGCATTTGACTCTGTTACTCAGAGATGGTTTGGATTAGACAAACCAAATTTTAATACAATAAAGTGTCTGTTAATAGTTAAAACCATTTATAGATGATTAAAGCAGGTACATTCTTCACAATTTGCATTTGAAAATGAAAAGTCAGGTGTTGCAACTGACCCCGGGGTCGGGGACAGTTGTAACATTGGGGGTGGTTGCAACACATTATTAATAGAAACTATTTCACTGTAAATAAAAAAAATTATTTTTATATTTATATTATTGCTAAATTAATAAAACTGTAAGTTATGATGATGTTACAGTGTTATTTATTTATTGTTTTTGATCAAATGATGACTACAGATTAGCCTTGATGAGTAGACCTTATATACAGATGTCAGAGACTCTAATTGATATAAAATACAGTTGGCTTTTAGAGACAAGAATAATAGAACAATTTGTTAGGCAATTAACTTTTGTTTTGCCTGTTGTCACTGTAAAATTTACATTGAAAGAAACTGGGATTTTAAAACCATTGTTGAAAACAGCTATATAAAATACATCTTAAACATGTTTTAAACCATAAAATTGTCATGAACACCCAATACCTTTTTAAGTGTAAACTTAATTTGAACATCTTGATATCACTTTTATGTAATCCATTTTATATGGATTTATCATATGGGGACAGCTGCAACAACTGCTGCAACAACTGTTCCTGTCAGCCATGATAAAACCTCATGTGTTAGCTAAATAAGCTGATCTGGATACGTGCTAACCACAGTTAAAAGTCAACATATCACTTGTTTAAACCATATAATTTTGAGCTGGATCACAAAAACAGTGACAACAGTGTAAAAAAATAGATCAGAGTAAAAAAAATACTTTGGTACCTCAAAAACTGTTTTTTTTTTTTTCTCCAAATAAATCCTGGAGCAGTTTTTGAATCTTACTTTTTCTCTGCATGTTGGGGCATCTAACTGAGCATGTACAGTGTGAGTGTCATCACTCTTGTTTCTGTTTGGAGAAAAATCACGTGTTGCAACCGTCCCTTATTGTTACTGTCCCCGGTCTCCCCTGCCTTTTTTTTTTTTTTTTTAATTTTTAAGGATGCCTAACAGCAAAACCTACAGTAAAGTTGGGTTTCACAGTTAGCAGAGTCTGTCTTTTGTGGATTTTTTCATATAATCTAATATTTTGCTGTTATTTTGCGGAAACCGAGAAAAACAGTAAATACTACAGTAAGGAGGGTCTTTTTTTCCATTCTCATATTTAATCTTTCAAACATCTCAATGAAATATAGAGATGACAGAATTAATGGATTTGGTCTGGTTGGTGATGATTACCAGGAGTTGTCCACTAAGTTCTGAAACTACCAGTGATTTGGAGTGGAGGTTAGGGATCTGACTGGTTCCTCATGAACAAGGTTCTGTTTGGCTCAGGGATCCACCAAGGTCTGAACTACTAAATGTAAGCGTGAAACATAAACTGGCCCTCGAGTAACTACAAAATTACAGGTGGGCATTACCTTTTAACTGACTGGGACAGGAGGCAATGAAATGGCCTCATTTCAACCACCAACCTACCACAGAAGAGTGACTGGGGTTGTTGAAAGAAGGTTGGTTTCAAATATGGAAGTGTTTGACCAATAGGAATTGTAGTTCTTTTCACAAGCTTGTTCTTTCACGATTATTCATACGGATGGTTAAACTGATTAATTTGTCCACGAATCAAGTTTCATGTCAGGAATCTAGCAGGTCTTTGAGCAGCTTTGACAGGCCTAACAAAAATACTCATAAGTGCCTTTTTGCTTCACCCCGTTTCTGTCATGATCTGTGTCTATACAGTATATACTGTTTTTATTTTATTTTTATTTTGTGTGTGTGTGTGTGTGTGTGTGTGTGTGTGTGTGTGTGTGTGTGTGTGTGTG